AAAAAAAAAACTCTTGCCATCTATCAAGTCTATGGTAAATGTAAAGGTTCCCCCACACATGCATGCTAGTTGTTTGCAGCTCTAGGGGCAGTGTCCATCCCCATTTCTAAGCCGAGGAGCTAGCACTCTCCAAAGACGTCTCCGTGGTCATGTGGCTGGCATAACTAAACGCCAAAGTCGTACAGAGTGCTGTTACCTTCCCACTAAAATGGTCCCTATTTTTCTACTTGCATTTTTTATGTGCTTTCGAACTGCTAGATTGGCAGAAGCTGGGACAAGTAACAGGAGCTCACTCCATTACACAGTGCTAGGAATTCAAACCACTGAACATTCTGATCAACAAGCTCAGAGTCTTAGCCACTGAGCCACTTCTATCAAGTCTACAAAGTCATTAAAAACTAGTGGACAATGGAAAATTAGTATTTCACAATGAAATTTTCAGAAAATTAATAATTCTCTAGTGGATAAAATAGAATTTTTAAACTCTTGCACATTTCCTTTCACTATCAAGCAAGCACTCTGGAAAAAACTACCAAAGGCTGTTTCTGTCCAAACCCACATACCTACAAATGTTATTTTATGTTATATGTCAGCTCTAATGGCAATAATTATGCACCAGTCACAGAGCAAAGTTAATTAGCCATCTGTTATATGGCACACACATATACAAACATCATACTTTAAAGTTTCTATAATACAGTCTAAATTTTTTAAAGCCTTGTTGTGAGTCCCCAAGTGCATCTCCAACTTTTTTTTTATTTCTGGAAAAATCTTTAGTTTAAGAACTCTGATGCCTCAATTGGCTTAAATTAGTATTTACTGATAATTCCCTATCTTCACTGATAATTATTCACTGAATTATTTATCTGTACTGAAGAAAGGCACATATTTGGATATAAAATGCTATGGTCTGTGTAACCCTACTCAAGCCTCACCTGCTCTGATGTAATGGGTTCTCAGGAATGATATTTAGAGAAACCTGAGCACAAATTACCTTTTGGTAAGTGAGGAATTTAATTGGAAGATTGTTCGGCAATTGTCTATTTAGCCATTAGTTTATGTTCTTCCCATAAAAAAGATTTCACATTTACCAAGTGTTTTGCTCTCCATGTTACTGGAAAAAATATTGGGCACTAGAGGAGGTACAAACCATTTCACATGTTTTCCTAAATGCTCTTTTTTATTTGGCCTAATCTGCTAAATTAGAGGGAACATTCTCCTTTTAGTTCACATAACTTCTCTAATAGCCCACAGAGAAGCCAATTTGTCTCACTTAATATTCTACTTGCATTATTGGCTCTTATATGCAGATATATATCCAATTCAGTGGTGGTTTTCAAAATGTTTTAGAACCTATTCTGTAGGTGTGGCCTATTTTGTGGGTGTGGCAATAGCAATAGCAATAGCAGTAGACTTATATACCACTTCATAGGCCTTTCAGGCCTCTCTAAGCGGTTTACAGAGAGTCAGCATATTGCCCCCAACAATCTGGGTCCTCATTTTACCCACCTCGGAAGGATGGAAGGCTGAGTCAACCCTGAGCCGGTGAGATTTGAACCGCTGACCTGCTGATCTAGCAGTAGCCTGCAGTGCTGCATTTAACCACTGCGCCACCTTGGCTCTTGATGGTCATGTGACTGGATGGGAATGGCCAACTAGTAAAATGTGGTGAAACTTATTTAACAATGCTCTTGCTTAGCAAGAGCAAAATTTTGGGCTCAATTGCAGAAGCAAAGCGGCCTTTCTGGACTCGTCTGAAGAAGTCCATCCCCCTTCACCCTTCCTTCTCTTTGAGAAGCGGTTTGCAAAGTCCCAGTTTTGCAAGGTGCTTGTCAAAGAGAAGGAAGCATGGGCTTCTTCCCACAGCTGAGTCCTCCACTCCAGCAAAGGAAGTGGGTGGGTGGGGCAAGCATGGTAAGGACAGGCAGGGAGAGGGAGAGAGAGAGAGAGAGAGAGAGAGAGAGAGAGAGAGAGAGAGAGCAACGACCTTTGGCCAGAGGAGGGAGCATTCTGGTACGGGGTCTCCAGAGGCCCCAGTACACAAACACATGCCAGATTTCTGGCACTGGTCCATGCGTACCGGACTGGACCTGCTGAAACCCACCTCTGATCCAATTATATATAAATTGAGATTTTGTGTAAGTGTGTTTTAATGGATATTTCAGCCTAGTCTTTTGAATAGGGTCTACATAACAAATTTGAGGAAATTATGTATTTTTTTTCCAATCAGTGATTTATAATAGTATCTAAATGTTTGTTCATTCTTTCAAATGATAATTAAAAGTGCAATAATTACAAACATTAAAGAACATTGTGTTGGGACAAATCATTTAGTATAATTCAGTAAATGCATAATATGAGGGTTCAGTCTAAATAGTTGAAGTGGGTTATCAAAGCATCCCCCACCAAGAGGCCCTCTGGGTTTTCAATCATGTGTCTATCTTATTTCTTTTGTGTATACGTGGTATGATAACCAATATGAATGTTACAGACATCTTCAGGCCCCACTAATCCTAGCAAATGAGATGCAACTTTATCTTACTATCAAAGAGAAAAAAACTACAACATGCAATAAATTCCATAATATCACCCTAGTCACCATATATGATTAGGGAAGCATTCTCATTCCATCTCTGGCAGTTAGACCAATCTCAGAAATGACAATAAAATTATTTTTTCTAAAAAAAGGAAGTCTTATTTTCCTGCTTAAAATAGTCATGCTACTTACAATGGCAAGAGAAATAAAAATACATGGTTGTATGATATTCAGATAGTGAAGAAAGTAAAATATCTGGGAATTCATTTATCAGTGAGATGTGCAACCATAAAAGAAGATAATTACACTCAATTGATACAGCAAATTAAACTTGACTTGGAAAAGTGGAAAAACCTGCAGCTATCACTGATAGGAAGAATAGCTACCATTAAAATGAATATTCTACCAAGATTACTATACCTGTTCCAAACAATTCTGAAAAAGCTGGAAAAGAAATACTTCAAGGAATTAAACAGATTAGTATCAAATTTTATGTGGCAAGATAAAAAAGCAAGAAGAAGTCTGAAACTGTTACAAGACAGTAATAATAGAGGAGGCTTTGGGTTGCCAGATTGGGAGTTATATTATCAGGCTTCTGCACTTAAAAGAATGAATAACTTTGAAACATAGACAATTATTAAGTTTGGAGAGACATGATTTACAACTGGGGTGGCAGGCCTTTCTATGGCATGGGAAAAATAAAGTACACAAATATTTCCAAGGACACTATATTAGAAATGCTCTGTTTTTAATATGGGCAAAAATTAAGGAAAAACATGACTTGAAAATACCTGTCTGGCTCTCCATGATGGGGGCACTGATACATCCAAATATGGCTGACAGAAAAAATCATAAGATATAAAGATATTCTGAATGAGAAAGGAGAATTGAAAAGCAAAAGCAAACAGGAACTGAATAGTCAAGGGACATATTTGTCATGGTGGCCGCATGTACAAATACAATCAAGATATGAAAAAAGATGTTAAAACATATAGTTTTTATAAAGAAACAACCAAATTGGACCAGATTATAACAGGAACTGATGAGAAACTGATTTTAAAAAATTATAAGTATTTACTGAGCATTAGAATGGAAAAAGAGCAAGTAAAGGAAACAATGACAGTGTGGGCTAAAAACTTTGCTTATTCTATAGAATTGGATAAATGGCAAAAGTTGTGGGATAGAAATTACAAATTAACAAGATCTACAACATATAAAGAAAACATACAAAATGTTTTACAGAAGGCACTTCCCACCAGCAAGATTAGGTAAGATGTTTAAAGATATGTCTGCTAAATGTCAGATGTGTAATCAGATCCCGGGCTCATATTACCACATGTGGTGGATGTGCCCAAAAGCAAAAGCATACTGGTCAAAAATACATACTTGGATAGAAAAAATGATAAAGGAACATATAGATCTAAAACCAGAAATATTTCTGTTGAGTATTATACCAGAAAAATATAATAAAGGGACTATGTATCTAATACTACATATGTTAACAGCGGCTAGAAATGTATTTGCACAACATTGGAAAAGTGTGGAGATCCCTACAGAAGATAATAAAAAAATATTAGAATATGCAGAAATGGATAGTTTAACTCTTGAAATTAAAGAGAAGGAAGAGATGGAATATTTTGAAATATGGCATTCATTTTATCTAAGGTTAACTAATAGAAACAGAAGTTAGAATGTTTAAAATTATAAGAGAAGGATCAACTTTACTATGATGGCATTACGATATATATTTTATTAATATTAATTAGTATCAATAATTATTAATATTATGATGAAAAAATACTGTTATGACTACTACTAATGAATATGATGATTGCTTAAACTAATTTTAATCAGACAACACACTGTTTATATAGACATTGAAACTGTTACTCTTTCTATATATATAGGAAAAATAAAAAATAATAATTTAAAGAAATACATGGCTACTAAAACAAGGGAAACCATTTAAAAGGCAATTCCAAAAAAAGATGGTACTGATCTAAAATTTATTTCAAGAATTCTGCTGTAAATGCATTCCAAATCACATAAAACCACACAAGATTTCAACCAATAAACATAATTCAAAATAAATCAAAAGTTTAATAGCAATCATAAACCAAATGCAACTTTACTTACTTTGGGGGAATTGTGACAGTATTTCCTTTAGGTAATGAAAAAGTAGAGGATTCTTTTCCTAAAATTGTAGCATTGTATACCAAAGTTTTTATGCTAGGGTTTTTCAACTGTATCTGTTGCAAAAATACAATATTTTCATTTACTGAATCTTTTTACTTTTCTTTTCAGAGCAACCCCCAAAGATTTACATAAAACTGTGCATTAAAAGTATGAGAAACAATATTACATATTTTTTTCATTTCAGTAAATGCAACATCTGCAAGATGTAAGGGGAAGGGGGCAAGCTATACATTATATTCTATTTTGTAGAGATACATCATAAAAAAGAGTTATTATTCATATACGGTATTATAGATGAAAGAGAAGCTAAAAGATGGTGAGTTGTATTGAGGCTTTAAATTTCATCTTTTATTAAATGATAGCTCTAGTAACAAAACAGGGACATCCAAAATCACAGATCATTATTAAAATTATGCTAAATAAAAATTGATTAATTCCTAAAAGAAATTAAAAACATCAAATAAATTGCTTCATTTTCGAAAACACTATAAATAGTAAAAGTGTTATAGTATAGTAATAGATGACACAACCTTTATCATGAGTGTTAGAGGAATTTAACACCCAGTAATCATAAGTATTATGGAAACTGAAGTGCAAAACATCTGGATAACGATGTGAAAACATTTTTCAGATCTTTCGAAGTATAAGACCTTTTTCCCTCAAAAAAGAGGCTGAAAATCTGGGTGCATCTTATACACTGAATACAGCATTTTTGCCTCACAAAACCCTGCCCCCTTCACCAAAATGGCCATGCAGAGTCTGTAGAAGGCTTTCAGAGAGCTCCTGGGGGCTGGCAAGGCAGAAATGAATGAAAAACGGGCCATTTTTTTGCTCAATCCCCCCCCCCAACTCCCAGGAGTACTCTATAAGCCTCCTAAAGGCTATGCATGCATTTTTTTTTGACAAAAACTGGACCCGTTTTAGCAAAAAATGGGCTATTTTTTGCTTGTTTTGGGGGTCCCCACCCCCCAGGATCACTCTGCAAGCCCCCTAAACGCTATTCATGCCTTTTGGGGGGGAGGGGCCGACTTTGCGAAAAAATGGGCTGTTTTGGGGAGGTTTGCAGAGTGCAAAAACTTTTTTTTTAATTTGCCTCTTCAAAACCTTGGTGCGTCTTATACATTGGTGCATCGTATACTCTGAAAAATACGGTAATAACCTAATATTCGATATGGCATGACTGTCTATTAAGGTTAAAATTTGGACACCAGACCTCTAGCTATAAATCAATGTGCAAGTTCCTTTTTCTTCATGTTACAGCTTATCTTCCAGTATCTACTAATACCACTTAATTATAAAGGTTCGTTTCTTCCAATATTAGTAAAATAAATTCCCAAGATCATTTTCAATTCTATCAAAAATTACTTAAAATCTTAATATACAAATACCTTTCTAAGAATTGTAGCATGAAGTTGGCCAGCGAACTCTAGTGTTTTCTTAGGTAAATACTGAGGAAGTCGCTCATATAAATAGACACAAAGCATAAGCATCATGACTGGATTAGGATCACAAATGTCAGCAGCCTAATTTTACATTAAAAATAAATCAGTGTAAATTGATACTATAGATGAAATCTTTGAAAAAATATTAAGCGACTGCAACTAATGATTTTTCATATTTAAAGCCATTACAAAACAGAAAATAAAACATAGAAGTCTATGGAGATTCTCAGTCACTCAAGTCATGGTTGTCCCAAATGTGCTTTTAATCCAAGAGGCAACTGGACTTTCTGGTTTTATTTTGAAGACATTTCATTTCTCATCCATGAAGCTTCTTCAGCTCTGACTGGATAGTGGGCAATGACAGCTTGCAAACAGTTGGTAATTTGCATTCATTTAGCAGGTCGTTAAGGTCACCTGGAGGTTTATCTGTGTCATCAGGGTCACCTGAGTGGTGCCAATGGATGTGGCGCCTTCTTGGAACTGTTGAAATGATTGTTGTAGATTGGAGATAGATGATGTCATATCTCTCCCCCTCTGTTGAGAGAGGTCTGTTCAATTTCAAAATCCTTCCAGTTACCTCTTGAAAAAAAGCACCCTTGGGATAGGAACTAGAACCAATTTTATTTCAAAATCAACATAATGAAATACATAAAAGCATATATCTGAGAAACAAGGGGAAAATATTTAAGTACTAATTCAGTAAGAAATACAGAAAAGATTACATTTTCACAATTCTTTTCATACAAATATTTATAGTGACTGGTTGTTTACATTTAAGTATACCAATGAAATCTTAAAATACACTTTTAAAGCAGCTTACTGGAATTCAGTTAAAGTAGAAAGAATATTGATGCTTTCAAACTTTGGTTTTGGAAAAGAAACCTGGGCATACCTTTGGAGAAAACAAATTTATGGATCATTGAATAAATCAACTGTGAGTTCTCATTTGAGGCACAAATGCCAAGGTCAAATTATTCTACTTCGGACACATTATGTAGACCTAGCTGTCTGGCAATGGCTCTAATGCTGGGAAAGGTGGAAGGAAAGGGAAGACCAGCAGCAAGGTGGATATACTGAGTTACATTGGCAATGAATGCATCATTGAAAGATCTGAAAGACCATGTCATAGACAAATCATTATGAAGAAAAATCTACCTAGTGTATGTGGTTGCTAAGAATCAACAATAATTGATGGTATGTAATCAAGATGAGGGCACAATCATAATCAGGATAGATTCACTCCTTTATTATTATTACAGTTCTTTCCTATTGTATCACATACTCATTTTTTAAAAGTTTGCATTTTAAGTATGATTATCCAATATCTAATAGGCATTGACTCCAAGTAAGATAACTTTCTTCAGGACATCCTGCCTCCAACCTAGTTCTTTAGATTTTTCTTCGGTACACTCGTTGTAATTGAGACCATCCATCTTGTTGCTGCCATCTTCATTTTCTTTTTCCTTGCACCTTTCCCAGAATTATAAACTTCTCCAGATAGCTTTAAGTCTTCATTTAATATATCCAAAATATGATAATTTGAATTCTTTGGATAGCACAGTGAAATTGTGATTCATCCTAACCTCCTCTAACCATTGCCATTTTTTAGTTGAATTTACAATATTGCTGGCATTAGTGGTTACTTTTCTGAAAAGGAAATTTCCTATCCACATACATTAAAATCTGATTTTATGGTTAAGATGCAGCCCTAGAAACCAGAAATCTGTAAATTCTAGTTCTTCCTTAGTGACTGAGAGATGTTGGATCTATTTCTTCCTCTTTGTCTAATTGACTTCACAGACCTATTTTGTGCTAAGAATATGATGATTCTTGTACACTGACTTGATATGACAAATAAAGGCAAGATATAAGTCAAATAAATACATGCATAATTAATTCAAAACCTCTATATTTTTGAAATATTACAAATCACCATAAAATTAGGGTTAGGTTAGTTCTTAATCTCTTTTTTAATCTTACAGTTAAAATAAGCTAGCTGCATAGTTTTATACCAATTGTAACAATAATTAAATAATTAAATTAAATAATATAATTAAATTATTAATTTTACTAGCTATGTGGATTGGATTGGATTGGATTTATTGCATTTATATGCCGCCCTATTCCCGGAGGGACTCAGGGAGGCTCACAAATCAGGTAGGGAATACAAACAAGGGGAAAAAAAAATAAACAAACAACTACAAAATAATTTAAAAACAATCAACAACCACACAGTTCGAGCGGGGACGGGAACTCGTCAACCCCAGGCCTGTCGGAACAGCCAGGTTTTAAGGGCTTTGCGGAAGGCCTGAAGGGTGGTGAGGATCTGAATCTCCACGGGGAGCTTGTTCCAGAGGGCCGGGGCAGCCACAGAGAAGGCCCTCCTCCGGGTGGTAGCCAATCGGCATTGGCCGATAGATGGGATTCAGAGGAGGCCTACTCTGTGGGATCTAATAGGTCTGGTGGAGGTAATTG